ATATTAACCGCAACCATCCATAGTTTGACATTTATACTGAGAGACTGTCATGTTAGATGTTTGAGCATAAATTATGTGAAATGCGGCAAATGAACTGAAATGTGCTCGCATTTAGGATGAAGCCACGACAAGAACGAAAGATCGGGAGCACACGCTCGCGGTCGTTCTGTGTCATGCTCCGGCATCAATGTGTGTGATGATGTGATCGAGAAGCGAAGGAATAATTAAAAATGATTTTTTAAGAAATATATAAAACCCATCATGTGTAATTAAACGACGAAAATGGAATTTTATGTGCTGCATTCCATTGAGCAAATGTCTGTTCCAATTCTCGTTTCAAACTGCGTATTTGGGCTTTTGTTTGTTTTATTTTTTTTATCGCCTGTTTAACCTATGAAAGAAGTGGATGAGTTCCAATTAATATGGGCAATAAAAGAGAGAGAGAGAGAGAGAGAGAGAGAGAGAGAGAGAGAGAGAGAGAGAGGATTAAAAGAAAGACATTTTTATAGTTGGCGTTGAATGTGAATGTTTTGACAGCGTGAAACTGTTCCAAAATTCACTCAATTATGATTTAACAGCCAATAAATTGGCTTGTTCAGAGTGATGTTCTAGTGGTCTGTTTGGTTTAATTTGGATTTCGTTTAGTTTGATTTACTTTGTTTTGGATTTTCAAAGACCAAATAAAAACAGTGGATATCATTTCACTCGAGTGTTTATTGTTGTTCTTTTTGCTGTTGTCTATTTTGCCTGATATTCTGATCTCATTTGCGCAATACGATTAACAAGCTCCGATAAAAGTTCTCTCAAAATTTCAAACAAATAAACAACAATGTTGCAAATCAAAGTTTTGCCAACCAGCTCATTTTACGCTTGCCGTTTGCATTTCCGTTCCGTGCTTTCGTTCAACTTGTCATTCCTGGTGTTGTTCTTTCTTTTCTTCTGTACTGGGGGGGAGGGGTTGAGAAATGGGGGAGAGTGATTTTTCGGTTGAAAAAAAAAATGTATATAAATATGGGAATTAATTACATGCTTGCAGCCGGCGATGCACATGAGAACTCATTTTTGTTGCATCGTTTTTTGATTGTTGAGTCGACCGCCCTTCTTGCACCGAAACGAAAACTTCACCGTCACCGATCTCCCTGAAATCGAAAGATGTGGTGGCGACTGTGAAACTGAATCGAACAAGAAAAGACAACAAAGAAAAGTTTGATCATATATTTTTCTTTTTGTTCATACTTTTAACATTAGTTTTGACATAGTTTGCGACGCAATGGCTGCTGATCCTGCTGCTGCTGCTGCTGCTGCTGTATGTTGCAACTGCAACATACTTATCTATAATAAATTTGTTCGTGTTTTTTCCTTCTTTTTTCATTTTTATGAATGCCATCTGAAAATTCAATTAATTTTCGCTCCATTTTCGAGTGTTCTGGTGAAAAATTGAGCACGCAACGCTGATGACGCTCACCGACCTCCGGCGGCAGTGGTGGCGGCACCAGGGATTTTGGGTGCCCATCTTTCAATCCACTCGGGTCCACCGGACAGGTTCAAATGCATATAGATTTCAATTAACTCAACTTCCTTAATCAACGGTCGCTTGTTGCGTTTTTGCTCGATGTTCGTTTCATTGGCCGTATTCTGCCAAAAGAATGCAATGAAACGGTCAAAAACTTTTATTCCATTCCTGCCCGATGCTATTTGTTTACACTCCAACGAGACTGGATTCTTCCAATCCAGATATATAGTAAACTACGCTAACAAATGCACAATTTACAATGTTCTACTTCAACTAACTAGCTGACAGTTAATTGTTGTTCTGACAGTGCTCACTATTCTCGCTCCCTTACTTGCTCTCACTCCATTTCTCTCTATGTTTGTCTTATTTGCTCTGTCTCTCTCTCTCTCCCGCCCTCCCACTTTTCCATTTGTTGCAATTGCATTGCTAACTTTCTCAAAATCGAATCGTTATATTTTGCAAACGTTCTGCTTGCTCTCCCATCGTAACTTCATGATAGTATTTGTAGAGCTATAGTACAACGTACACTCTCTCTCCTTTTTGGACCTTTGTTTCATTTTGTCAGTCAGTCAGACTTTTTGCCATTGCCGTTTATTTAATTTGTTACCTCTTTCTCCAACTCTCAATTCCTTCATCTCTTCAAAGAACGCACACGAAAACTGGGTTACTAAAATATTTAATTTCAATTTTTGCACACAGTACTTCCTCCGCCTTTGTGTCGCTATCCACTGTTTGTATGCCATAGAAAAGTGAATGTTGCAAAAATTGTATGATGATGTGTTTGTTTGCGATGTAGATTCTCATAAAAATGAAAAACATGCACTACTAATTCGGGGCAATACATCAACAATAGCAACAGAATAACTTCGAAAAAATGAATGCACCCACGTACAAACAAGCACACAGTGCCAAACGATATAGTTGAAACATCGTTACACATTCGGTTGAGCTCCGTGTAACATTGTACAATTTATTTAGTTTTGCCTGGCAAACATTTTGTGATATTGGCAACAGGGTGGCTGACAGTGGAAACGAGGAAAGCAAAGTAAACGGAAAAGCAGCACTACTTCTATACGTCTATGGCATGTATACGTGTGTGTGTCTCGGGCGAATCAATTTGGATTAGCCGTTTTGGTTCAAGCAAAATGGAAAACTGTCACATGGATTTTCAATTATAATTTGACTGGATGTCAAAATCGGCTAAAAGTCTTGCCAGTAATCTCAACTCCACCCTATTCAAATGCCATGTATCTTTCTCATAAAATCTCGAAAACAAATTCAATACAAACAACAATATTTTAGAAGGAAAACATTTATAATAACTTCACGGGGGAAAACGTGGCAACGAACTGAATGAATGAATGAATGAGTGAGTGAATGAATAAATAGATGGATGAATGGGTGGAATGAATGGATGGATCGGAGTTTGAGTTTGATGAAAAAATAAAGTGCAAAGGAAATTCCCAAACCGTGGAAGCAAGAAAATATTTTCACTCAAATTGGCTTGTGCACAGTATTAGAATTGTGACGAGGACAAGAAAACCATACTGGAACCAAAATGGAAGATAGCGATTGAAAGAAGGGTGGGGATGAAGAGAGCTCGTCGTACATGAAAGACGGTTGAATCGAATGCAAAGCATTGCCAATGCAATCCACACAAAGTAGCTTAAATGCGGAAAATCAATTTATTAACAAATGGCACACAAAATCAAAACAAACAACTCCATTCAAAATTGCTTTCGCCGTTCCATTTTCGTTGAATTTTCAGATTCTCATTAGGTTCGCATTTGATATTGTCTTCTGCGAATTGCGACATTAATATTGTGACCTCGTTTACGTTCTAAATTCAACAAAATTACAAAAAAACGACCAGTATCAAAATGAAAACCAAAAAAAAAGTATAATCAACCCCGAAATGAATGGATTCCGTACTTTGAATATTGGAATAATGCACAAGCACATACACATGACGACAACAAAAAAACGAAACCAAAAACACAAATAACGAATTATAAATGGTGAATTCACACACAGTCCGCTAGTTGTTATATGAGTACATAATGCGTGTGTTCACTGGTTCCAATAGAACCAACCATCCACTCGGGCTGAGTATAAAAAACAGCAATAAAAATAAATGATTATAATTGGCGTCGTTGAAATGAGGAAAAATTACTCTTTTAAGTTTGATATTGCTTCCATATGTGAGTATGTGTGAGCGGGTGAGTGTGTCTGTTGTGTGGGCTACAATATCCGAGAAATATCCGTAATATGCAATCGACCGATTCGTTATTAATTTGTTTGAACGTTTAGCGAATATTTACATTTAACAGACAAAATTTCCTATTTGTGTTTTATTTAGCCAAAAGGCATTTTTATTCGGTAAACAGTCGAAAAAAATGCCTCATTTTCGTTTCGATCAAAAGGTTTGATCTCTTGGCATGGATAACGGTTTCGCTTGAAATATTTTTGTTAAATTGGTGCATTTGCCCCCGTAGCTTTGAAGGCTGAATAAATGTTTGGTTAGCGACAATGTTATTGCATCGGTCCAAAGTACATCTAGCCTATGACATGCTATGTGCGTGCGTTTTTTCCCCTGTTGGATACATTTTATTTGTTTGTTTGCTCTATTCGGGTGATTTACTTAATGAATTGCCATTTGAAAATGTTGATTTTTTTCAGTTGACAAGTTCAATGAATCCGCTTTGAATTTCAAAGCGCACTTTCTTTTCCAATGTTACCGTACTCGGTACTTTGTTGAACAATCCGGATCATATTCTAGAGAAAAATTGAAACTTTTCTTCTGTCATCCGTTGATACACACAATAAATTAGGGCTTAATAAAACCAAACGCAACAAATGGCACATATTCCGTTGAAGATCGGCTTTTTTCTTTCGTCAGAGTTGAAATAAATATACTGTCATAGAAAAAAAATCAATTTCGAACAAGAATTTCGTCAGAATCACCCCGGTTGTTGCTCGTTACAGAATATTTCAAGAAAAATGAAGATAAATTGTATTAAAAAGCGGAAAACTTTTGAAGATTGAATTTGAAACTCACTCGGCTAACGACAAAGAAAAAGAACGAAGACGAAGACAACGAAGACGATGATGATGATGACGAGGACGACGACAGGGGAAAAAAATCAATGATAATTATTTCAAACTCGACGTTCGATTTTATTTTCAGCAATGAAGTAGATAATGCCATTTTCCTAATGATGTGTTCCATTGCATGCCTGTTCCGCTATTTCTGTTGTATGGACTTGCATCCGAATTTCCGAATACAACGACATGAACAACCCATCCAAAATGCAGAAATTAATGTTCATGATAGACGTTTTTACTTTAGATTTATCACGGCTTCGCATTGCTCTTGTTTCAATCTCTGGATTTTACTACACTCTTTCTGTCGCTTCTTTCTGTTTCTATACTCTCTATATATTAATGTCTATTTATAATTTTTTTTTCTCATTCTTCTCTTTCGCAGCACTTTGGTCTGATTATACGGCACTGGAGAACGACTTTAACGCCAAACGATAAAGTTTTTATTCGAGCTGAATCTTGTAACGAAATTACTAGGACGAGCTTGAGCCGAAAGCAACAACCAAAACAACAACAACATCAGCCGAATCCGAAGAAGAAGTAAAAGAAAAATAACACGAAAATACATAACGGCGACGAAGTTAAAAGCATCAACATTGAGAGAGACAACGATTCAGTATCATCGAGATTAAGTATCATCACATTCAGGAGGCAAAAACTATTGCACTTTCCAACTTTGTTATAATTTTGATGAGAATGAACTAACAGACAAAATATAGGAAAAACTCACTTGCTTCGCTCATGAATCGCCTCCCACCTCAACCCCGCTTCACCTACGGTGCAAATGCGAGCAAAGCAAAAATTTTGTGATGATAGACGGTAAATTTAATAGTGGCAACAAATAGTTTAATAATAACAACAACAAAAAACCAGAGCGAACACAACGGGAAAAACTTTGCGTCCAACAGACAAACAAGAAACAATTAAAAACTCAAGTTGACTTTATGAAGCAAATGAGTATCGTAAAATATGTGTGCAGCCGCTACAAATAGTGCCGCTGAAAATACCATTAATAAGCGTCTGGAAAGTTTTGGTTCGTGATACACGATCGATAATATTGAAATAGATAAATGAATCGATTTTTTTTGGTTATTTGTATATGTGTAAATTGACGAGAAAAAAGAAACGATTTGAGAAGAACAAGCAATCAATTTAAGAGACTCCCAAAACTAAGATAGCTAAACCATATAATACGAATCAATAAAATTGATAATCCAATTTCTGCTCATTCACAATTTTGTTATTCGGTGTATTTACAAAGTGTGTGTGTGTAGTTTATTTGTGTTTGTAAATTCTGTGATATTAGTACCGTATTTGCTCTAAACTATTCCTACCGGCCGCGCGTGCGTTTGATTCATATTGGTTTTAACAAGCATTGCATTCTATCTACAACCGTCATCAAATCACCAATAGTAGCTTTGCTTTTTAAACTAAGCCAGCTATAAAAAAAATTTCAAAGCCATACAAAACGTAAGACAACCATTCCGCTAGCAGAAGAGAAAACATCAAACACATACACACACAAATATCGCTTGTTTTCGACCATAAACATAAAGCGCGGAACAAAATAAATAAAGAAAAGCAACAAAGTGAGAGAGAAAGAGAGAGAGAGAGAGAATAAAAAAACAGTAAACAACAAAACAACACATAAAAACAAACAAATTAACCAAAATGTTGAGTCCTCGCCGATTTCATACGATTTTGCTTCTGCAATCAATAGTATTGTTCAGTGCTGTGATTGGCATCCGTTGGGAGCATTCAGTCGATTTGAATGATGACTACCGGGTGCTGTGGACCATAAACAAACTGCCATCGATGTCACAACAACAACAACAACAGTTGCTGGCGCACACACAGCAGCAGCAATCTTATTTACCACATTTGACTGAAATCACATTTGAAATACAAGTGCGAACGCTTGGATACATTGGCTTCGGCTTTTCACCGGATGGTCAGCGGGCTGGTTCGGATATTGTAATTGGTTGGGTTGATCATGGACACACGTATTTCCACGTAAGTAGCCACCTAATTCCCTTATTTATATATGTGTTTAGGTATGATTTTTTTTCTTTTTTTTTCAAACGAAATTTATTGAAATGCTAAAACATGACGATGAGGGTTTTTCGCTAAACCTTTTTTTTATGCGCTCTCTTAAATTGGGGAACTTGTTCCGAGGCCATCCATGCGATGTGATTAAATTATAACGAAAGTTCGTTCCTTTTGGGCTCATCGGATTGCAGAAAAAAAAATATATATATAACAGAAGGTTGCACGAGACCGGGCTCTTGAATGAACGCGAGCGCACTCGTCGATGTGCTTATCAAAACCAATTAATTCAATTTGGTTTTTGGAGTATTTAGTGTGTCACTACGAATTATGTGTGAGTGTAGATTTGTGCGAAAAATAAATGGCTGAAAGCGGCAGACTTTCAATCCTGGCGTCGAACATTCGAATTGAAATTCGTATGCATTCTGTTCATTAGCATGGTTTGATATGCGATTAAATTTTTTTGCCGCATTTTCGAATTCGAAAATGAGCCAGCCGATTTTTTTTCGCAATCTTCTTTTTTTTCGTTAGTACGCGCGTATTTCAACTTTTATCCATCGCTTTTTTTGTTGTTGTTCCTTATGACCGTAGAAAATTACCATTTCCATTTATTTTCTTTCATTCATTCAATCGTTGAATTAAAAATCGTGTAAAAAGCATTAATAAAAAAAGTGAAATTGAAATCGAAAAGAACCACCAATTATGGAAATTTTTTGATCAAATGAATAGTTTCGATTTGGAATGTTGAATGCCAAATCATGAATTGGTACTTTTTGCAAATTGACCAACAAAAAATAACAAAAAGACCACTTTTAATCGACACTATATGCGAGACCCGTCTTCTGACAATGGAACGGGACTGTTTGATTAAATGACCTTTTTCTGAATTAGGAAATTCGTTGACCAAATTTTTACGTGCTACCTTCTTTTTTTATCTGAAGTGGTGACAATCAAAAAAATACATTTGGAGGGTAAATACACAAAAGTAACTTTGATTTGGATTTGGAGTGTTTGAGAATACGGTAACAGACGACGTTTTCTTTTTTCCTCTCTCTCTCTTTATTTTCGCTCCCTTTCATCTTGTTCAGAGCCGTTTTCGGCGGCTTTTAATACGGCTATTCATTCGGTTCATTGGACCAAAGCGACACAGCCATTGAGAGTGAAGAAAAAAAATGCACATTCACAAAAATTCTATGCGATTTCAAATGATTTAATTTAAATGTTGCTTTGAAAAATCCTGTTGAGCGCGCACATTAACAACATCCATAACCGCTCACTCTCTCTTTCTCTCTCTCTCTCTCTCTCTCTCTCTCTCTCTCTCTTTTTACATTTTACACGCATAAAAAACACGAATGCATACCACTCAAAACTCTTAAATTAAATCACGACACATACACACAACAACAAAAGCATTCTTAACTCGGAAAAGAACATATACAAAGCGAACGAACGAGTGAGCGACCGACCGACAGAACCCATTCGCATTTTACCAAATTGAATCAAATGAAAACTATTAAATGGCAACCATTGAATCGAAATCACATTACACATTTAATAATAACACGAGGAGAGAAAAAAAAATACGATGCACACACAATAACATACACACAAACAGCGTATTGAGCAATTTTGAAGAGGAAAACGAATTTGGGAAAAGAACAAAAAGGAAATGAGTGTTAAAATCGTATTGAAAACATGGCCAATGCCAACCCGTCAACGCGACGAGAGAAGATAAAAAAAAAGGGAGCATGCAACTATAGAATATTATATTCAAAAGGGGTTCGGGCTTTTGTGTGCTGGGCGCTGGCAAAACAATCTCTTTTTTTTTCGTTCCGTTGGCATTCAATGTGATTCATTTATTTGTGATACATTTCCTTGAGATTTCCCATTCTGCGAGCTCACTCGCAAGGATCATTGATGCTGTCGCGTCCCTTTGCACCTCTCACCTCAAGCACACGCATTCATATTGCAAGTAAACAGCAAGGACACAACAGGCGACGGCTTTCCAATAACAAAATTGCGATAAAATAATTCACTGAAATATTTAAATGCCATTCAACACTACGCATTCTGTTGGTGCAACATAAATAAATTAATCTCATTGCTGAATGCATTTTAGTTCCGGTGCTTCGCGCGTAGTGCCGATACTTTTGGAACAAAGGGAATGAGAGACAGAGGTAGAGCGTATGTGTGTGTGATATAGTATAAATAAAGTTAATTGCATTCAATATAAAATATTGTCGATCTACGTTTTTTTTGTCGCTCAGTGTATTTTTTGTTCGTTGTGTTATTGTTCGTTGCGCGAAGCATCAGCAATCCCTTGCAATTTGTTAGCGCTCGTTAATTTAATGACAAAGTATCGTTTTTCTATTCTCTCTTGCTTTTTATGCGATCGTTTCATATTGTTTCATCCCCGTTAGATACACACACACTCCGTGTGTGTGTGTCGCTGAGTGTATACACAGAATTGGTGTGTTTTCAAGTTCCCATGCAAACATCGAGCCTTTTTTCCATCCCATCTCTCTCTCTCTCTCTCTCTCTCTCTCTCTCTCTCTCTCTCTCTGTATTCGAGTTCAATTTTTTTTATTCTCTATTCACTCTGCAGCAGTCTTCTGCAGAACATGTTTAACGAAACTACTTTATATATATGTCAAAGCCATAAATACAAATAGGAACTATGTATTCCAAGTAGACTGGTGTATTTGCACGAAATTAAATTTAATAAAGAAAGCGGAAAGCAAATAAGAGAGTTGAGAATGGAACCGGAAGAATAAAAAATTTACTTAAATCGAATGATATCGAAGCATCAAGATGGAAAATAGGGAACGGGACAGAGATAGACAGAGCAATTGAGTTAGAGAGAGAGAGAGAGAGAGCGACGAGCAACCAGAGCGAAATAATCGGTAAAGGTGGTTGATATGCGAAAATGTCACGTTAATCCAGTGTACATTTGACTGCTTCTGTGAGACGAGACGAGACGAAATGATGTGACTGTACAGTTATTTGCAGAATCCAAAGACATGAACGGCGGAAAAATCTATGGTCCTTCCGAACAACACAGCAACAACAACAACAAGATGCTGAGCGCAAATATGAAATTATCGAGAATGAATGGATGGGTGACATGTAATCTTGACATTACATTACAGCAGCAGCAGCAGAGTGAGAGAGACAGAGTGAGAGAGAATGAAAGAAAAGAATATGGCAAACATGCAATGTGCATTTATGCAAAACTGCGTTAAATTTCATTTGGCGAAGCATAAATTCGATCATTTCACGTAATAAACAACATTTGGTTTTTACAATACACTGCATGCTCTGCATTGCTCTGCTGTGCTGCATAGTACAAGAGATGGATTCAAACTAACGGAAAAAAGAATGACAATGAAATTCTTGCTCAAGCCGAAAAGTAAACAACGTTCACGAAAAAAAAAAGAAAAATGAATGCAAACGGAATACATAAGCGAAGAGTGTAACCAAAACAATGGCCTCGTTCTCGGCAGGGCACTCTTTTTTGTTACAGTTTGTGCATTCACTTGCCTTCATTGTTGTGCAACACAACGCTCCATGCTTACTCTCTCGATTCTCTATCATCTACTGAAAATGGTGTATGACAGCGACAACCAAAATAAAGTATAAATGCGGTATAGTTTAAGTGCTTTCGAATTCGTGTAATAAATGCATTTTGCCGCCACGCTCTTCACCAAATCTATTCACTCAATAAACGTCATATTCCATTTGCGCGCACAATTGCACACGCATTCACTCGCGCTCGCTCGCACACACAGACTGAGACAGAGAGGAGCACATTTACAAAAATGGCATACACAAACGGAAATTGTTCAATTTTTTCTTCTTCTATACATATCGAATAGATTCAAAAAGATTGTTTCGCGTTGGACGATGGAAGCGGGCGAAAGAGGGAGAGAGTACGCGCGCGGTGGTGTGCGTATGTCATTGAATACTTATTACAGAGAATAAAATAAAATTACAACATATTCTTTATCGCCGCTAAAATGCTTGGGGTGTGAAAATTATTCAATTATTATGATCGAAGTCATACAATGTGGCATATACCACAATATGGCACATTTGAAATGTGTGAAATTAGGGCAAATCCGGAATACGAGTAAGTGGATGGCGTATAGAGGGATCGTTACGGGCGCTCGACAAGGACAAAGTATCGCACAACGATAATGCTATGCTACGCTATAAATATGCGTATTCACAGCAGAAACGAAGTGGAATAAAAATGGTTTTAAATACATTTTGTATTCACTGTGAATTTGCCGATTCGATTGTCTGTACGATTTTTCGCCGGTCGCATAAAATGGTTGCAAAGAATTTCTCCATTTGATTGAATTTTATACAATGCACCAAAAAATGTGTCGAATTTGAGTGCAATTTTGGCAATGAGAGTGTGCGCAACCGCTCTCATCCGACGTATACGGTTCGACCGCATTTCAATTCCATTTTCGAGTACAATCCCAAATCGACGAAGCAAATTATTTTGTTTTGTGTAAACTGATCGGCAAAACAAACGAAATTTAATTGATTTTCCATTGAAGCGGCGCACAGTTGCCAACCTAATGAATAAATTTAATTGTTCAGCAAAATCAATTGAAGCGATTAGGGCCAATTGCAAAACGAGCACGGTCACTTCATATCGATTTTGAGCGCGCGCCTGTGTATGTGTGTATTTTAAAAATATGAAAGCATATTGTTTGCCGTATTATCTCTCTCTCTCTTGCTTTCTCTTCTTGTTTTTTTTTATCCTCGGTCGCTCCAAGAAATTCAATTGAAAAAGTCCACTGTCGATTCCAGAGGGTTGTGGCGATGCCCAGACTTTACTAATTTATCTGCTTTCTTTTTATTGAAAAATTTTCGGTTTTCATAATTTATCGTGCAAACAAAACCATTGTTTGAATGACGGACGCCGATTGAAAAATATTTCGGCCTAAGGATTC